CATTCCACGAGCAGTCTTTTACGATCTTTACCCCGAGGTATGTGTACTGGTCCACTACTGCAATCTCCTCGATCCCCCACTTCCATATATATTCTACTGGTTCCTCCCTGTCCTCGTTGCATACCATGACGGCACTCTTCTAAACCCCTTTGGGTCTAGGCTGGACTGTCAGATTTTTTTTGCGCCAAAAAAAAAATGAGAGCGAGAGCGAGCGGGAGAAAGAGAAGTGCAGAGAAAGACACCAGTGTATTTCTGCACACGCAACAGCCGTCTTCACCTGTAGGCCATGAGGGAAGCCGGCGACAGGGTGGTGGCCACAGACAGGGTCGTAGAAGGGTTGATGGGTGGTCGCGCTGCGGTCAGTAGGGTAAGTTAGCTGTGCAGACTTTGAAATGATCAGTCGTCTAGCTGTCTCAACCAGTCTATTTTCGGCACATTGTAAATGATCAGTCCACAGAGGGTAAAATGACCAGTGAAGACCCATAGTTGGTATTTGTACTTCTGTACTACTTCTCTGTTCTCTGTCCCCCCCCACCTACCTATGGACATGCCAATACACAGCGCGAAGGGCTGCAGGGCGGCAACTCCACGACTTGCCACTACACCAGCGTTTGCAAATGATCAATCAATGATCAGTCAGAACGCCCGAAGACTCAAAAAAGTTAATAATTAAGCAAGCAGCGCAGAGGACAAGCAAGCAGATGATCGAGACGAAGCAGTACACGATAGCTACTGGTGTAGATGTTTTTTTTTTTTTTTGGGCGAAGTCGATAGTGTGGTCGACGAGCTTTGGGGCACGTTGGTGCAAGACGGAGGAATTAAGACAGGTGTACATATTAGAGGACCAGCACGGTTGCCCGAAGCAAGCTGCGATATTACCAGTTTGAATTTGTCCGTGGGCATTTTTTTTCCCTTTTCTAGCAAGACCAAGACGAAACATGTCTTCCCGAATCTCCCCAATACCTCGCTGCGCACAACGCCAATACAAGCTCTTTGTTGACGCTACGATAAGAACAGATACACCCTCGAGATTATGACGGCGACGGCGGTGAGCGTAGGGAGTTCCAAGTGCTGTGGGGCTCACCTTCTTTGCGTTATTATAGCGGTACTACCGTATATGCATACTCCGTACCTCTCCACTGACGGGTCCGCCAGTATGGCACGAATTGGTCCCTCCGACGTGAAACTGAGGCATCACCCGGCTTGATACTCACTTTCACAAATTGGCTAGCTATACGCACACGCACTTGGATACCCGCCAGCATGCAATAAAGTTATTTTACACACATGCAATGACATGTTTGATGATCATGCGACCCCCCCCTCCCCCCACGGTATGGGGGCTCCGTGCGGCAGTGGCGCGAAGCTGCAAGGATGTGTGTGCATGGTGGCGTTCATCATGTCATATGTGCTGTCAGCACAATTCCTTCAACCAACAATGGGCGTGGCTTTGGTGATACTCTCCGGCGCAATTGCGTTGGCCGTGCCTCCACCGGCCCAGGCATTTTTATCTCCTGTGACAAGGTAGGCACCTATTTGGTGTGCACGTCGACAACGATCAAACACAGCAGTCATCTAGCGCTTGTTCAACTCACGTGTAGCAGCCTCTATAATAGCGGTTGGGCAGCTAGGCAGAGAGAGGAAGCGTGGGCATGAGCAGTCGAGAAGAGCACCACCAGCGGCTGGCGCGCTTGTTTGCGGTGGATGGAGGGTGGGGCATAGGCGTGATTGTGTCTGCTGGCAACGAACGGTGTCCCTGGTGCCTACACGGCCAGCTCGCTCTACAGCAGTAGTCTAAGCGTCAAGCGTCTTTTATCCCCCTGGGCTCTCAACTTGTCTGAGAAGTTGGTGATGTCGGGCACTACTAGGCCCGGGGTGAAAAATGTGCTTTGCGTTTATGGAGTGGGTACACGGCACGAAGGCATGGAGCCCTCTACACGCCACGCGTGCTGCGTGGCATGCTGCGAGCGGGACATTTCCTTATGCGGATGTGTATGCAACCGGGCGAGGCAGAGCCTCCAGAGGCAGAGAATGAACAGGGCACCACTTTTTGTGCCCGCGGGTTTCTCACTCCCCTACTACATAACATTTTAACTCAGAAAGCTGGCAGACCCAGTGCTGCATTACGTTTGCTGTTCTCGCGTTTTGAAAATGTCAGTTCAGCAGTGTACATCGTTGTACGACGTGTTCCTGGGCAGAACCAACTTGGCGCGAACTCTGCCTTCTCCTCTTTTCCCGGCATGTTTCAGCGGCAGGGCGTGGCAGTTACCCGGGCCGTGAGCCCGGCGTTTTCCTGGCGCCGAACCCAAAACGATTGTGTTTTGATACGAGCCGCTTTTCTGCCCTGCTGTGGCAATCACACCGCTCATGATCCCAACTCTAACGTTAGCTTTTCTGGAGCATTGCCTCAAATTCTCATGCCGCTCCGCCCTCCCCCCCGGCCTCCGACACCATATTACACAGGTTTACGTTCCCTCAGGGGACGTCTGATTCAATACACAGGTGCAACAACGCCATATTCGTCATGCCGCTCCGCCCTCCCCCCCGGCCTCCGACACCATATTACACAGGTTTACGTTCCCTCAGGGGACGTCTGATTCAATACACAGGTGCAACAACGCCATATTCGCCGTGTCCGGGAAGTTGACGGCGCGCGCTGAGGGCAGTTTGGTGTGCCCCCACGCGGGGAGCAGTTCGCGGTGCCCCCCGGCGGGCACCGGGGGGTTGAGCGCTCGAAATCACCTCCTCTACAGCCGTCGGCCGTTGACATGGGCCTCGGCCGCAACTTCATCGGCAGGCGAGGGGGGTGACGCGGGGGGTGCTGCCGGGGGTCCTGGTGCAGACGGCGCAACGGGAGCAGAAGGAGAGGTATGCATAGGGTGTGTTGTGTTATTGGTATGCATATGTGTAGACGACTCTCTCCCGACAACCGCTGCTGCTTCCTTGCAGCTGTGCTTCTGCCGCCTCAGGCCATGACGGCCGCCGAGATGATGGACAGACGAACAAAAGAGCGGCCGTCTCTCGAGAGCCCCTGGCGAGTTGGTTCTGCTCGATTGGGCACCAATGGAAGGGGAATGAAAAATAACGACGACCGCACCCGCGTTGCAACACCTCCTCCTGTCACGACGTGGAAAGGGAATGAAATATGAACGACGACAACGACCGCATCCCCCGCACCCCTGTTGCAACACCTCTCCTTGTGACGACGACCCTAGGGCGTGTCAGGTGCGGCGGCTGAGTCGGCGAGAAAACCGCCGGAGCCCGCGGGAGCGTCAGGGGCGATAGAAGACGAGCTGCTGGCGCAGCTGGTCGGGCAGGACTATGGCATGGTGAGACACCGCCGCGGGCGATACGGTGTGCCAATGTCATCTTCTACACATCACGTCCAGCCGTTTCTGTCTGTCTTCTTCCATGCGATAAAATGGTGCGACGAGGCAACGTGCAGCATTTTTTGCTGGCTTTTTTTTTTACAGCCTTCGCGACGATACTTATCTTGATTTTAGTACGGGTAAGGTTAGGAATACGAAACCCTCCACGCTTATCCTAGATTGATATGTAGTATCATTGCGAAGACGGCCCTCTATTGTGTTCCTACGTTTCGGTTGCGCTGACCCCATCTTGTTTTGCGGGCTTGTGCCCCGCCTGTTGGCTGCCTTTGTACTCGTTCCCGTCTTCTCCTCACGCGTTGTTGTGCTTTGTTGTCCGTACACACTTTGTTTCTCTCCTTTCCTGTTTTTTTGGGCCGCGATGAAAACGACAACAGTTGGCCCTCTTGCGGAACGACAAGTTTAAGGGGTTGATTGTGGTGAGTGCGGAAAGCTCTGGTTGTTGCACTGCCGTCGCCATCTTGGTGTTTTGCCCTCTGTAGCGCGGTTTTATCTTCCAGGCTGGTTCACCTGCCCGTTGTAGCGGGCACACGCCCTAGTCTAAGCACTACAGTAACAACATATTGGTTGCTGTAGGCACATCTGTGCCAAAGAATATCCACCCGCGTTATGCAGGCCACCCCCACACGACTACTGCTGTGCAAGAAACCGAGCACTACCGCCTGCTGAAAGCCACGCGTAGAACCGCTGTTTGCATATCAGTACGACTGTGTTTTTGATGACATCAAAGGCAGATGCGGGTCTTTCGTATCTTTTCTGCCGGAGTATCCCCACAAGAACCCCCCGACTGCTGCTCAATACCCATTCTAGTCCAGACTCGGGAGCCTTCTTTCCAGCACACCCAGAAACCACGTGGTTGGTTTCATCGTTGCCTCCCTCCTTCTGGCATGTTCCGACTACGCCGCTTTGCTCGTGCTGCCTTCCCGCTCTACATTAAGATGTCCAATAACTCGAAGGGGTATGCACAGCTGACCCATCCCCTCTAACTCCCACGACTGTTTGAACTGCTGTAGTTGGTTTCCCCACCCCAGCCCCCACCGCCATTTTTTCACGTGTGTCCTCCCCCCAAACTCCCACGGCCATTGTACTGCTGTTGTTGTTTCCCCACCCCTCCGCCGTCTTTCACGTGTGTCCCCCGCCCCCCCCGAAAGTTGTTGAGAAACTTGCCACCGGACGAGTGGGTCGCGGAGGTGGCGAGGACCTACCCGGACGACGACGAGGTTAAGTCGATGATGGGGCAGGTGGGGAAGCTGATGCGGATGATCGACTACTACCAGAAAAACCAGCCCAAGAAGTAGTCAAGCACATGCGTCGGCTGTGTCCCCCCCGCCTTCGGTGTGGTCCGAACGCTTCTTCTCAGGGCGGTTGCCGGTGAGCGCCGTTTGTCGGCGACGCTGCCTCACCCCGGACCCCCGAAAGGTCGTGCGCTTTTTGTCCTCCCGAGCGCGCGGGGGGCAGTAGGTTCGGGTTCCGGTTGGTTGCTTCTTTTTTTTATCCTGTCCGGGTTTGTACGTTTCGCCGGGGAGGCTGGGTCTCGGTTCCTGTCGGGGCCAAGAGGCTGGGCAAGCAGCGGTGACTGCGACGTTATCCCGGCGGAGAAGCTGGCAAAGAACACCACGCTGCTGTCAGATTTGTAGACAGTGTTTCCTGCCGGCCGTGCTCAGTCTCACTCTGTCCCGCGCAAGTAGATAGACCGTAGGCGATGAATGTTGACGATTGGAACATACTCAGTAGTGGCAGTCTCAGGCTTTTCGAGCGGCTGAGAAGTTCGAAATCTGGCAGGAGGTTGGTCGGCACTGCTCCTGCACTTGGTATGCTATTTAGGGGCATGGGCGGGTGTGAAGGACGGCGGGAATCGATTGGTTATTGTTCACTTTAATGGTCTAGCGATGGAGAGCAACAGCAACCGGTGTCCGTCCTATGCGTGCCATCGACGCTTTTCATCTTCCTCTTCTTCCGAACCATGTCTGCAACGACCAGAGGAATCAGCTAAATATATCTGATGGCGAGAGAAGTGTGAACAGCTGTGCAAGTCCAGACAGGAAGACTCGAAGACGCGGTGATCAAACGCCGTATGATAAGGTGCCTTGCGTCGACGAGGCGAAAGAGCGTGCCTCTCGAGCACTTATTAGCCGGCCGGACCATTTTCGCGGCTCGATCGAGCGAGCAGTCTGCTATGCACGCATGGTCGTGTGTTTGCGCGTGTGTTGAACAGCACATTTCGCGGACGCATTGTAGGCGGATGGGAGCGCACCGCTGCTGTACCCCATGCTCAGCAATGAAAAATCAGACGTGCGCCACAAGAGGAGAATAAACACGATGCGGACGCCAAAGGCGGCGGTCTGTTTATCCTTGGAAGTCTGGAGAATCAATCCACACGTTTGGCTATACCCACCCACTGTAGGCCCAAGCGACCCCAGGCCAAACTTCTCTCCATCACAAGGGCCACCAAAACTACTCCACGTCCTACTTCAATGTACTACTGTACCCGTTCTCCATCCCACATAATGCCCACTGTGGAAAGCACGGAAGGCCTACAGTACATGGCCCATTGGCTCTTTTGTACTATTTCGAAGTCAACAAGATGACACTGTTCTCTTAAGCATTGGAGAAAAAAGGCCTGGTCTGAGGGAAAACATTAAGTAAACCCGAATTTGTCCAACACGAAGGGGGCTGGACAGGATTACTTCGACACGCAAAACACATAAAGATACACTCCTAAGGACCGGGAGGTGCCGCCAAAAACCAGCCGCGCACCGCCGACGCTGATTTCCAACCACGGAACCACACAAATCTCCATCCCCAACGAAATATAATGAATCTATGGCAAGCGCGTGTGGCACACTGGCCTCCGCCGCTTGCCGAATACGCGCAAGACACGGGGGGCTTTTGTTCTCGACCTCCCGAGGGAACGTTGCGCCACATGGTCGAAGAAGCTTCGCGACAGGAGCCAACCCACCCAAATTGCAGGTACCACCGGCTAGAGCAATCCGGCAACAACAAAAAAAATGGTGTCGCGCTTGAAGCACTTTACATGGCACAAATGCAAACGAGGAATAAGACGGACATATATCATACATACACAACCCCCCCCGCAACTTTACATTCGCTTTTCAGCTGCCGCAAGGGCTCTTCAAACGATTTTTCAGCGCCTCAAGGGCTATACTACATGGTGTGGGGCACGCGCAGCAAAATACGCGTGAGCAAAAAAGGAAAGTCAACATCACCAACCACATGGCTCTATTGTTCGGTCAACCAGATCACAGCAACCATACTAGACTACATACAAAAAAACACTTTTCCAAAAGCAAAAAAAAAAGAAAGCAGGAACCGTATGCATGTGCGTGCGCATCCGAGCGACCTGAAGATCGATCGGAAAGGGCTTCTGTTGAGCATGGTTTCGAGTCATAACCCAAAAGCACCCAGCATCCAAAGAGCAGCCCTCTTGAAGCTCACCCCCCCAAAATACAAACCTCGGTGATGTGCTAGCCTGGTCTGGTGAAAACCCGGCGTGCTCCGTCCCGGCTTTGTAGGGATATGAGGACCATGGCCTAACGACAACGGCAATGAGTACACGCTCTCCACCCCCAAACCGAATCGTTCGATTACCTACATTTGCCTCCCCGAACCTTGTCGAAAAAACGAAAGGCACTCGCTCAACTTAGCGCTGTGTCACGTGCTGAGGTCGTTCGAGGGCCACCGGCCGCTGCACGTGCGAGGAGGCGCCGGGGGGCGGGGGCGGGGGGTTCGCGAAGACGTTCCGCCTGGAGAACCGCCTGGACCCGTTCAGCCAGCCGGCCCTCTGCCTGTTCATGGCTTCCGCCGTGGAGGCGTCTTCTTCCGTAGTCTGTTGCCGGAGCATTCTGCCCCACTGGATCACCTGCGTGAAGCAACACACGAAAACCACCGAGCGAAGGTTGTGAACAGGCAGGCGCAGAATAGACTACAATATAGGTAGAAAAAAGCACGAGAAGGAGAAGAATACGTTCGCTCACCCACAACGGGAAAAACACAAAACATTAAAAGGCGATGAAGCCCAGAAAACTAGAGGGGCGGATGCCCGCTTAAGCGGCGAACGGCGGGGGGGGGGCAATGAGAGGGGGAGGATGATTGCCTTCATCCATTGTCAAGACAACGACGACACCGACCGCAGTAAATTTGAAAACAACAACAAAAGAGCCGGGGTCCGCAGCAGCGGTAGCAGCAGGAGAGCGAGCGGATGGAGCTGGTCCCACCCATGACGCACTCTCTCGTGCAACAGCGGCTGCGATACGAGAGAATCGACAACACTTGGGGCGGATACAAGACTCAAAACCGCTTTTGTCACGACATACATACACACAGAACCCAGCAGTCAGTAAAGAGAAGGACGGATCCAAGACAATTGCTTCGGCATGTCCCAACCAAAGTCTCTCTCAAGCGGCCACCGTACCAGGATCAAAAGCAGGACCGTCAGGAACGCGCACGACACCCAGAAACCGAGCAGCCCCTCCGGTAGGTCCTTGCACAGCTCATCGTAGACAGCGGCCTGGTAGAGGCCGTTGAGGTTCTCGCACGACGAGAGCTCGCCGGCGTCCTCCAAAATCGTCCAGAAGCTCTCCAGCGAGTTGTCCAGCGTCTGGACCGGCTCCGCGAGGTCGCTGCACGCCTCCTCAAGCTGTTGGGGTCGTTGTTCCACCGGGGGGGTTAGATGAGACGCGCAAGCGGAGGGGTGGGGGGGGTATGGCGTGACAATCGACATACATGGAAGTGGAATCGCAGTGGCATGGGTGGGGTAGAGGGGAATCAGCACCCCGAAACAGAGTGACCAAACAGCCCAAAACATCACGCACTGCAATCTGTCTGAGAGGTTGTTCGGCTTCGCAAGCGGCGGGGCCTCTCCTCCGGGTCTCTCTTTGGGAACTTCTTTGGGTCTACACCTTAGTTTGGGTTTGTAGGTTGCCGCCACGGAACTCCCTTTTTTGTTCCTTCGAGGAGGTACAGAGTTCCGGCCGCGCGAACAGGCACAATCTGTCGAAACAAGCCATGCTTCCCCCGACCAATATGTTTGTTTGTGAACACGACGCTGCCCTCCTCGAGCGAGAGCTCATGAGAGCATTTTACAATCAAGGGGTGGCACAAGAGAAAAAAATACATGGTGGTAGGAACCATGTGCAGTGCCCCCTCCCCTGCGCTTGATGGAGACAGCCGAGTTTACCCGGGGCAACGGACACAACATCTAAACGGCAACTGCCCACTAAGATCAGCTGGCTGCCCGTCTAATAGCCGTGCGCTTCTACGCTCGACCAGCCAGGCTATCCATGGCGTCTCCCAACTTCGAAAAGCTGGAGGCCAGCTGCGAAGTTTCCAAGCTCCACCAACACGTGACGTTTGGACTCAAAAAAGAGCCACGGTCTTATGCCTCCCCCTAAACCTTCTTCTCGAAGAGGCTATCGGTACCGTATAGACTCAACAAGACCCCAGCGAATCAACCGCAACTAAAAAAACTACACCACATGCAAATACGGTCTTACGCCTCCCCCCTAAGCCTTGCTAACGAACAAGTACTCGGTGCCGATTGCACCCGCAGAGCAAACGGACTGGTTGATAACTCTTCTTTTTCACCTGGTAGAGAGTGGGGACGACCGACTGGATGATCGGCACGGCCACCTCCTGGGCGGCGATGATCGCGTCCACGGCCGCGTTCTCGCTGGTGCAGTCGCCGGTGTAGTAGGTGATGAGGTCGGCGATCTCCCCGTCCGTGTTGTCGGTGATGAGGTCGTTGGCGTTGGTGTCAGGGTCGATGCAAAAGTCCCCCGTCAAGGCTGCGTTTTAAGGGTTAGGGTCGGGGGGGGGGGGGGGGGGGGGGGGGTTTGGAAAAAAGGTTTGGGAAGGAAAAAAAAAAAAAAAAAAAGGGCCCCCCGGGCAAATTTTTTTGGGTTTTTTTCCCAAAAAAATCCCCCCCCCGGAAAACCCGGGGACCCAATAAAAAACCCCGGGTTTTTGGGGGCCCCTTCCGGGGACCCTTTTTTTGGGGGGAAAAAAACCCCCGGCGGAAAGGCCCCACCAAAAAAGGGGCCCCAAAAGGGGTTCAAAATGGGGGAAAAAACCCCCCCCCCCCCCCCACCCCCCAAAAAGGGGCCCCAAAAAAAGCCCAAAGGGGGTGTAAACGGGGGGGAAACAAACCCCTTCGGGGGGAAAAAAAAGAAAAAAAAAAGGGAGGGGGCCCCCCGGGGCCCCAAACCCCCAAAACCGGGGGCCAGAAAAGGGGGGGGGGGGCCCCCCGGGAAAAATGGGGGGAAGGAAAAATCCCCCCCCCCCCCCCCTTTCCGGGGCCCCCGGGGTTTCTAAGTCCCCCCCCCCGGCCCCCCCCTTTTTCCCCCCCGGGGCCCCCCCCCCAAAACCCC